CTGAGTAAGCAAGATGTTCTAGCAGGTTCCACCACAGAGGTATAAATATAAGGCCTACTCTGCCTGGGACTGTCTCTTCAGACTTGGTCTCTTAGGATCATCCACAGGTACCTATACTGTAGATAGGTCTTAGTCATCAGGTCTACTCCACTTCCTTGTTGCCTGCTTAGACTCTTGGCACTCTTAGGTGAGCAGACTTAGTCAGCCTGTGTTGCCCTAACACACATGCACTTTTCTGGGAAGCATAAAGCTAAATCGGGGGATGCATATATAACTGTGGTCAGAGTCACATGGTTATTATGGAAAATACTAAACACAATGGCTAGAATCTGTACACGGTCCCTGCATTACACCAGGCGTAGCCCCACTTTTCCGACACCCCAGGCTCACCCCTATTCTGTCCCCCATTGGACGCATCGTCGACGAAGTTAACGCCATAGCTGAATTCTGCCGTAACACCGGGCAGAGGGCAGGCGAATTGCAGGAAGTATGGACATGAGCGGTCGACAATGGTGCACGTCTCGATGCATGGCAGAAGCTCGGAATAAGTACGGTTTAGGGTTGGGAAGTTGTTTCGGGAGGTATTCGCGCGAGGCATCACTGCAGGGGGAGGTAATGGAGGGGGAGGAACGGCAGAAGCGTCCGTATTGGCGCATCGAGGAAAGGAGATCGCGCAGGCCCAATCGCGGTACGCATCGAGGCAGTCTTCACAAGTTTTCAAGGGAGAATAGACATCTCGCCCACAGGCGAAGGATGAAAGAGTCATGGAGAAGTTACCAAGGCTTGAGAGAATAATGGCGGTGTATTCTCCGGCCAGATCGTCCGCAGTGTACGTTTGCCGTGTGAGCGATGTTCCCGGTTGCGCGGGCTCTGCCTGTGTAGGAGGAGGAAGGGCCACTGCGTACGAAACGAACGGGCAGTACGGAAGTGAGTGCACTAATGCACAAGGAAAAGACACTACGTGGTTGATGAGTCATACATCCCTGAGTATCAACCACACAGACCGTTTTTGGTGAGAAAATAAACTGGTCCATGCACAACTTGAGTCTGATCGTCTACAACAAACCAAGTGTAATTTGTCGAGGGCTCCAGTCCACCAACCAACCACTGTCGCCTCCAGCCGTCCAAGGGATCACGAAGGACAAGGCTGGAGTCTGTTGCATTGCTTGCCAGCTCCATCACTCCGCTAACTGTGCGTAAAGCCTGAGGGGAGAGGTTGACGGCCGCTTCTGGAGAAGTGTTTGTCGTTGGAAATACTAATAAGGTATAATTGGAAGGATTTGTTGGAGGGGCCCATGACGGTTGGACTGGGGGCAGAGTGTAGTTTGGGTATGTCTGAGGAGTTGTTTCGAGCGGCAGAAAGGCTGGCGAGAATACAAGAGCAAGAGACTGTGTAGTGTCGCCAAGAAGGGGACCATTTTGCGCAAGAACACCAAGGGCGAAAGCAAGGGGGCCAAGTAGCGATGACGAAAGCATATGTGAGAACTGTCTGTCGGAGGTCGCAGAGCGTAATGGAACGTGTGGGCAGGTTATGTAAGCAGCTCACCTTGACGCGTCCTGTGGCGCGTCCGATGCCTCTCCTCATGCTCAGCAACAAACAGCAATCCCTCGGATGGCACGCCAGGCAACTCTTGGTGAATCGGCTTCACAATAAAATGCCCTGTGAATGTCTAACTCACGTACAGGGGCAGGAAAGTTCTTCCAAATGCCGCCTGGAGTAAGGGCACCCTCCCAGCAAACCAGCCTCAACGCGCTCTGGGCTAAGTCAGGTCATGTCGAACCACGACCAGGATCCTATTCCGAGGTCGAAACAAGCGAACAAGACCATAAGGCGAATCCTCTCAATGATGTCGAAAATGGGTTGAAAAAGGTTGATGTCATGTCCAGCAGTCGTACGCATGGTCCTTTCCATTCACAGCAATTAACTGAAAAGCCGCAGAGAGCTTAGAGGTCGATCAAGGCTGGAGTAATAACGCGAACATGGTGGGAACCTCCCCATATTGTACAGAGAAGAGGAAGCATGGTCCCATAGTTGAGATACCTGGTACGGATCAACCTCTCGAGACAGCCAACCATGGTCGATATATCTGTTGCAGATCCACCAAAGCAAAAGAAAAGGCGCGTCGACATCAACAGTGAGGACGATGGGGGGGCGGCCAATGCTAATACACTCTCAGACAGTGAGTTGAGAAAGTCATTACTCCTGTAATCTCTTATAACGTGCTCTCAGCACCTGGTGTCGCCACGCCACATACCCAAGCTCTGGCGAAGGGTCAGGCGCATGAGGATGAGGGGGGAAGTAAATCGGACGGGGGGAATGAGGCTAACCTTGATGAAGGCGATGAAGCTGACCTCGACGAAGACGAATACGCAGTAGACGATGAAACAGAAGAGGACTCAGCGTCCCTTGCGTCAGTGGATGGCAATACATCGTATGGTTTCACTGATTCTTGATCAGTGCCGAATTGGCCGCCGGTGATGCCTTTCTCTGTAAACAAACACCATGGCAAGCCGACGAACCGTGAGAAACAATTACATCCTGGGACTTCGCTTATGAGAACATAGTGTGCCATATGCGGCGCTTATTTCGACTTTCACCCTGATTGAATCCACCTCGAAAAGGATCGAAATCACCACGCATCTCACGGCTTTTTTCTTCATGGTTATTAGACTCAGCCCCAAAGAGCTGCTCAAGACTGTATATCTCTGCATTAATCGAGTAAGTCATAAGTGCGGCCCGCCGGCCCAGTTTAATATATATATCACAGTTGTGTCCCGACTACGTCGGTCTCGAGCTGGGCGTCGGAGAATCAATTCTTGAAAAAGCAATTGCCGAAAGCACTGGGCGTTCACTGGCGAAGATTAAGGCTGACCTGAAAAAGGAGGGTGATTTGGGGTTAGTTGCGATGGTGAGCCCTAGTCACAAACCCAATATCATCTATTCCGACAACGCAACCCAGATGAGCCGCAATACCCAGCCTACTATGTTCAAACCAAAACCTTTGACGGTTTCGTCCGTTTTCGCCAAGCTGACGGAAATAGCAAGAGTCAGCGGTAACGCGGTATGTCCTTCCCGTGCCTGAGTTCTTGTGGTAATCAAAATGATAGTCTCAAGCTAAAAAAATTGGGATCATCAAGTCTCTTCTGGCAACCTCCGTCGAGATGGAACCAAAGTTCATTATCAGATCATTGGAAGGCAAGTTGCGAATCCGACTTGCGGAGCGCACTGTTCTTGTAGCGGTGGCCTGGGCAACAGTCCTTAGAGATCGAGGTTTGTCCGACGCCAAAGCGATGATTGGCGGCTCAACTTCCGTCCTGTCAGGATCGAAGAAGTGGAGCAAGGAAAAACTAGCCAGTGAGCTTGAAGAAGGAGCGAACATAGTGAAGTCTGTATATAGGTTCTATTTTTGGTTTCTCACTGCTGTTCAATTGTTCACATCCCACATCAGTGAATTGCCCTCTTATGACTGTGTCATACCAGCTTTGCTCGATTGTGGAATCAGTGGCCTCAGGGAGCATTGTAAACTAACTCCAGGTAAGATACAATGATTCGAACGATTATGTGAGTGCATGCATTTCATTGATGAATCTCATAGGAATTCCGCTCAAACCGATGCTGGCTAAGCCAACGAAAGCCATCGGCGAAGTCTTGGATCGGTTCGAAGGCAAAACATTTACCTGTGAATATAAATATGACGGTGAACGGGCCCAGGTTCGGGACATTTCGTTGTACTTCCATTATCGATCTTAAACTCATACAGATTCATCAATCTGAAGATGGCACCATCAAAATTTTCAGCCGCAATTCGGAAGACATGAGTCTGAAATATCCCGATCTTATAGACCAGCTGCCTGGAGTAATAGATGACGCTCAGGTCGCCTCAACCCATAGCTGATATCATACCCCACAGTGTATCAATGAAGGCACGTCCAGCTTCGTTTTGGACGCTGAAGCAGTTGCTATCGAACGCGCCACAATGAATCTTCTGCCTTTCCAAGAACTGAGTCGAAGAAAGCGGAAGGATGTCAGGGCTGAAGACGTTCAGGTTACAGTATGCTTGTTTGCCTTCGACTTGTTATATCTGAATGGCGAGGTAAGCTTGGTGGCCATGTGACTGTCTGGGCCATTTTTAATTCATTGTATAGCCGTTGCTGCACAAGGATTTATTATCCCGCAGACAACTTCTCTATCAACATTTTCACCCCGTACCAGGAGAATTTGATTTTGCAAATTCATCTGACGGAAGCAGCACAGAAGAGATCCAAACATTCCTTGACCAAAGCGTCAAAGATGGTTGCGAAGGTCTCATGGTTAAAATGCTTCAAAGTGATGCCAGCTACTATGAGCCGAGCCGCCGAAGTGTGAACTGGCTAAAGGTGCGGTAAGATGTAACAGGCACCGACTTTCTGATCTGACATAGTCAACAGTTGAAGAAAGATTATCTCACCGGCGTGGGTGATTCCTTCGATTTAGTCGTTGTTGGGGCATATCATGGTCATGGCAAAAGAACTGCTGTGTACGGCGCCTTCCTTCTGGCGTGCTACGATTCCGACTCGGAACAGTTCCAAACAATATGCAAAATTGGCACTGGATTCACGGATGATGCTTTACTACAACATCACAATACCCTAAAAGGGCTCGAAGTTGACGTGATGCGAAGTGACATTGCCCCTGGGCAAGCTAAGCCCGATGTATGGTTTACCCCCACCGTAGTCTGGGAAGTACTGGCAGCGGATCTGAGTTTAAGCCCCGTATATACGGCAGCACAAGGCCTTGTGAGTAATCCGCGTTATCGGGTGGTTACGTGGCTGACACGTAACATTGTAGGTTGAAGAGCGTGGCATTTCACTTCGCTTTCCGAGGTTCATTCGAGTAAGGGATGATAAGGCGCCTGAAGACTCGACTTCCCCAGAGCAAATCGCAGATATGTATGAGCGACAGGCTCTTGCACAAAGTAAAGGCGGCAAGAAAAGGAGGGGGGATGGGGAGATAGAAGACGACTTTTGGTGACGATGTCTTCAAACTGTACGTGTAAACCACATTAGTCCCCGACAGGTCTCATTGGCTACTCCGTTTCTCATCTTTATTTTTCGGATGAGAGAAGATGCAGGTGAACGCACCCGAAGCCTGAGATTCTGGCTTGTAATAATATACAATTTTGGGACCGGTCCCAATGTGGTTATGTGTGAGTCCAACTCGCTCGAAGAGCGGGTCCTATGCCAGGGACATTGGTAACGGTATCCCGAAAGACTAAACCAACAGTCGCTAAGTCCTTAAGCATGTTCGCATATATACGAGGGTGGGTAGGGACCACGACACCTCTCATATCCATGTCCCCGTCAAGAATACGGAGTGCAGCGAACGCAACAGGTAACCCTACAGTTCGTGCCATAGCGGATGAATGCTCGTCACCGTAGACCACTAGAAGATATGAATGCACTGTGGCCTCTGTATCTGGACTTGTCATTGGTCCGGGCCCAGCGACAACTTCGTGACTCAAAATAACCACATCTCGTTCTCCCGGCTCATAACGCAAACGATGGCTCATCAGAATACTGAGCAGACTGAGGGGGGGAAGCGAGATCTCCGGTACTGTTGGGTAAAAGCCCTCCTTCATTGCCGCAAGAGATGGCAGGAGCCCGAGCCTAAAGTGGACTGTAAGCTTTGCTTCGTCTCCCAGAACTATGGCTTACCATTCCAAGGCTGCCTCCTGATGATACCACCGTTCTCCTAGTACATCAGTCATCGCAGCACCGCGCGATAAGCTATCCCTAACAGGTAGCCCAACAACTCGCTCAAGACAACGAGGGAGCAGGTCACTCCAAGTATCAAGGGACAGAGAACTGGTTTCATCCAACAATCCGATCTGGCTTAACACAGACATCAAGCTGGTGAACCCTTTGTATCTTGAAGCAATGTTCTTCTCAGAAGTTTTCTTTCCCCGTAAGCTATTCAGCGCACCGCAGTGTTCCCCTCAATTGTGAGGACATTGTCTCAAGTTGGCCAAGCTTGTAAGGTTTGATATAGTTGATGCTGTTTCGGTTGGCCAAGCCTTCCAAAGCAAATCCCTGAAATAGAGGAATGTCGGAAAAGTGTGTTTTTAAGAGCATCTCGCCTGGCACGTCGAACACCTGTAGTACACATTATGATATGTAATCAAACGTATATATGGGAACACGCGCGGACGTACCTCGCCTTCTAGTTTAAAATGCGCGGAATTCTTTGCGGCCATCAAGACACCGTGGGGAGCCCAAGAAAATTTGTACCCCAGAGGAACCTTGGAATTGATCAAGCGGGAGCCAAACAAAAACCGACCGGCACGTACATTGGAAAACTCTGGGGCAGGTAAACCTCCGCAAAAGGATATAAAGCTTCTCACCTGCTTTCCGTCATTCTGAATTCGCTGAATCAGATCTACGGCTGCGCAATGATCGACTCCAGGATCGAGTCCGCATTCATTCAGGAGGAGGACATCGGCGGAGAGTGCCCTAGAAACAAATGGTAAGAGAGATGCAAAAGCGGTCAGCGAAGGCTCGCACTTCTCGTGCAATGATTGCATAACGGGTGAAACGTAAGAGGCAGTGACAAGGTGAGCTTGCTGCTGAATACAAATTTCTGCGATTTTGGGGTGCATGGGAGCAGGCAACAGGCTGATGACAACATCCGCCTTGCAAATCAGCCCTTCCATCAGTGCACGGTCAGAGGCGTCAGCTGTGACCAGCCTTAAATTCGGGTGCACATTGGCAAACAGTTGAGCCTCTTGTAGGTTGTTGCTGGCTGAACTCTGTGAGGCGCTGATGCACGGACAATACGATCTGCTCACCGAGTACAACCGTCAGATCGGTGCGTTGGCACAGAGTATCAATAACTGGCTTGGCAACCATCCCGGATCCAAGAACCAAAACGTCCGTTCCTCGGTCCGAACGAGATGCTTTCGATCGTTGGACTGGGGCTGTCGTTAGCCGGCCTGATAGCCATTCGTGTTGTGATAATAGTTTTCCGCCTTGGACAATCGTTGCTCGGTCTAGCGATTTGATCAACAATCCATCATGCTCCCTTTCCTTGGCATTGAGTCGTTGTCTGACGAAGGCAACTAGATATGGCATGAACGCATTGCTGAAATGTACTGAGGTGTCTCGGGCTATTGACAATGATCAGCACAATGGAAATGCATATTGCCTGTAGACAAACGTAGTTCTGTAGGAAGAATGTCGATGGATACGATGCTGACACCCGGATGGTCCACGAGGGAGTCAGAAGGTTTCACAACAAAGACGGGAGTGTCAATTGTAGAAGCTTGAGTGACAAATTCAAGACCACCCTTCGAGTGCGATAAGCAGAAGTACAATAGAGGGTTTCCATCCTCTAGCCTACATACCTCCAAGTCGCATGTGACGTCTGATATTGTTCCTAGGCGACCAGGTCCGATGTTCCAGGCAAGGCGGAGTGCTTCCGTCAATTGTGCATTGTCCATTAAGCGAGGAAATCCTGGGCGCCATCCGGCACCGTTCACGATCAACGATACATATGGGGCAATCTATTTGGGGTGGCGGAATTAACAGGGTGCGCCGATCTGTTTTCGAGTACGTACAAGTCGGTAAAGCACACTGTGGTAGCTGTCCGGGTCGCAATAGTAATCGTTGCGATTATAACCTCTGCCATCTTTGCGTTGTAGATAATGTGCTGCTGGCGCATGGACGACATATACCTGGATGCGAATCAATGCTTTGTGATGTCAACGAGGGGAAAAAAGTTACTTTGTGAAGGTCCATGCCTGAAGCGTTCACCATCAATGTGCATCTAACGGCCAAGGACAGCGTGGCGACACACCTTGATATTTCACAATCTTGCCTAATTCAAGAGGCTGAACAAGGACAGCGGGAAGCTCTTTCAACATGTCAAGAGCACCAGCGGCAACTTGCCCAGCCCTGGCCAATTGGTCAGCATGGAACACTCCCCCAGGTAAAGGCGCTTACCCGGTGACAGCCACGACGATTGGGCCAGCCTCTCTGGGAACACCTTCAGCTTGAATTCGTCTACCCAGAATCTTTAAGGATTTTCTCATTTCGGAAAGTGAGGCATGCATGAAAGGCCGAGGGAGATGCTCCAGTGAGGACTCGATTAATAAGACAATCTTCTTGGTATGGCTCAGCTTACCAGGATGGGTGTGGCAATACCAAGTGTCAGGAGGTAGCGGCTGTAAGCACAGAGGCCCTCAACCAACCCAGCCGCTAGGAAGACCCGAGTAGGACGATAACACGATTAAACAGACAAGCTACGTACCCCCAGCGTACCAGCCAAAGGCGATGGTCCGTTTTCCATCCGGCCCAGCATGATCGGTAAGAAGCTCATAGTCTATCAAGCGGGCCTGCCCCAGGAGGCGGGACAAAAGGTCCATGTTATAGCTCTGGAAGGTATATTCATGTCCTGTCAAGGTGCAAGAACCACGGATGAATATACCTGGCCCTTGTGCGTATGGGAGAACATGAAATGTGTTTGTCCTTTGACAGGGGTTGCCGACAGCTCCGAGATGGGCACTTCTTTGATTCCCACCACGATATCCGCCTGGGAGACGTCTCCAACGATAGTAGCACCGGCCTATCCATTCATAAAATCACAATTTTCAATGGACGAGAACAAACCTTACTTTGCGAAAGTCATCATCAGTCCAGATGCGGCGATTGCAGTGCTGCACCTGTACGGTAACGCCCATACCCACGAGTTCTGCAACAGCATCCGGAGATAAAGGACATCGACGCTCCCAAGTTCTCCTTGGATCTTCTCGACGTATACCCAGAGTTAGAGTAGATACGGCCCTGTAGGGCCCCGCAGTAAGCACAACATGATAAGGCCTACGCCAAAAGGTAGTTCGAGTGAGGTTGCGAAAGGACGCAAGCATTTATACCAAAGATATTAAGGAACCTCGTCGCCGAAGAAAATACTGGAAGGAGCTCTAAAGTGCGGGGAGCCCTGCTTCTGGTCTATAAGAGATAAGTAAATCAGGGGGAAATGGGGGTGTCCGGACCATAATCCCCAGTGACGACCGGTCGGCGTACTCGATCATATTGTGGGGTTCACAAGATCCGGCGCGCTCAGGTCCGGCAGTTTATTGTGGGCGCGGTAAACCCTTATTGGACATTATAATCGTCACAGAAGAAGCGCCGCTCGGCAAGCTTTATTCGGTGAAACCTGTCCACGTGGAAAGAAAGGGTGGCGTGACAAATAAGCGCCCATGCACTGGGCCATTATCATATGTTCTCCTCCGGTGCCCCCTCAATCATCTCCTTGTAGTCCTCATACGTAGCAAACGTCGGCAGCTGGCGGAGCTTCCTCCTTTTGCCCATCCCGTGACCACCAGAAACTTTGCGCTTCTCACCTGTCGGGAGCTCGTCTACTTCATCATCCATGTCCACGAGATCTTCCTCGTCGAACTGGTAAAAGTCATCGGCGTCGTCTTCATTTGCTCCGTCGTCAGTATCATAAGGTTCCGGGACAGCGGCGTCATCGTCCTCAAGGTCATTTTCGAAGGCGTCGTCGCTGTCATCTGGTGACAGATCACTGATATCTCTCATGTCATCCTCCATGTCTTCAATGTCCGCACTGTCCATGTCATCGTCTACGTCTTCAAACTTAGGCATCGAAGCCTTCATCGCCTGGAAGATCACAGTTATTTCCATAGCAACCCCCTTTCAAAGCGATGCATTACCTTCCACACCTCCGCCTCATCTTCGCTTTCTTCTGAACCCGCATCCGTCTGATCTGCATCCATTTCACCTTCCGTTACCATATGCTCCCCCTCAGAATCCTCTCGAGACGAAGCCTGCGACTCTGAGTCCTTGTGACCTTTCTTGCGCTTGCTAACCTTGTCTACCTTAGCCTGATGACGTCCCGATCTTTGTGCGAAATACTGATGGAAGAAAAGCTGTTGGCGCATAAGCGGCTGCATGTCAGAGCATCATGTAATTCAGTACGAACCTTGTCCACAGGAATGTATGCTGCCTTTTGTGACCAAAAGGACGGATTATTTACGGTCCCTGCATCACCTTGATACCCTCTGGTGAGCCGAACAATTCCTGGCCTTTCTAGCCCAGAAACACTAGGTTGCATGGCTGATGTACCCTTTGGTCTTGGTTTCTTCGGGTTGCGATATACAAAACGGTCAAGAAAGTGTATGATCGTGTTGAGTCCAAGATCCGCTGTGGCGGTAATTTGTTGGTCAGCCGTCAATTGTCGGGCATGGAGGGAAACAGATGGGTGGAAGTGATGAAGGAGCGGCGACTGGTGCATGTTAGGTTTCACTTATGGGAGAACTGTGGTTTCAACTTACTACTTCCCATAGCTGAGACGATGAGGCATGGGCATACAGAGGGTCCCGTTTCCGAGGATCATATGCTGTTCGTGGGTCGGCTTCCTCCGAAGCACCTTCTAGTATGGACCCAGTCCTCAATAAAGCGCGCAAGTCAGGTTTGTTTGTGAACAACTGAAATGGAGTGTGTAAGTCATGGACACTGCATTGATGAGCAATTGCGCACCTCTCCCATGAGATAAATTGCTCCGCAAATGAAGGGAGGTTGATGCAAGGTCAGGGTCTGAAAGATTCTCTTAACAAACGCTATTTGTCGGTCGAAACTGGGGTCTGCCTTCAATGCCTTGAACAACAGGTTCAAGTACAAGATTTGCTTGGATGCCGTCAGCAGCCGTGGATCAAACAAAGACTCGTAGAGAGTCCTGTAAAACCTGTCGACGATCCCTTTATTGTCGGCCATTACGTGGAAAACGAGCATGAGTGATTGCACCGAAATATTGAAAGTTGCAGAATGAGTAATGCGGAAAAGCAAGTCGACATGTGTATTTAACCTGACAGTACGCCATAAGCTTTCGTTAGGCAATCGACTTTTAAGCACGCACGCTGCTTGATCTAAATTTGCAAAAGGGAGGCTTCGGTTGATACCTGTAAGAATAGCGGCGATCATCTTGGAGTTTTCGTCTTGCTCTTCTGCAGGGGCAGCGGCTTTTACTCTTCCTTTGCCCTTTGCCCGTTTCTTAGGAGCGACTTTGTCTGATTTACCTACAGGCTCATCCGCCTTCCCAATAATTTCGCGAAAGAGGTCGAAGTAAACTTCAATCAAGGCACGGGAAACTTCCAAATCGGACTTGGTTAAGGTGGTTTGGTTGAAGGTGATAACACCATAGTACTTCGCATGCTGATTCTCGGATCCCTTGGCATTGGCAGAAGTAGACGGGGGTCGGAGGATGAGAGAAGACACGTCCCGGATGACCACGGATTTCATGGCAGGATGAGACTGAAGCAACTGCAGGAGATGGAAGGATGCTTTGGATGCAACGGTCCGTTCCAGGTCTCCTAGTTTATTTACTAGAAGTCGGAGCAGGTTCTGCTCCTGCTCTGGTTTCTCCTTCAGGAGCTGCGCCACCAGAGTCATCGCTTGCATTCGAATAAAGGGCAGCGGATCGAGAAGCAATCCCTGTCTAGACATCAGCCAAGTGCGTGTATCTCAACAGAACAGCCGACGAACCTCCAGCAGCTGAAGAATAGAGAAAAAATATTTCTTGACCCAGTCTTCAAAATACCAAATCAGCAAGTGCCTGTCGGTGACATCCGGATGATTCAAAGGTTGATCGCGTATATACCTGGAAGATATGTCAAGGAGGTTAAGATAGAAATCATCGAAGCACTCACTTCAGCTTTCGCGACGGGGCACCACCTCCAACCCACCAGTCTGTGATCGCTCTGATGGCTTTCAGGCTCTCTTCCCTACTCTTCTTCCCAGCCATTGACTTCATGGCATTAAGGGCTCGAGTGTTATGCAGTGGGGAAGATTGAGCCATCAATGTTAAAGCTGACAAACGGTCGGAAAGTGTTCCAGACGAGAGAATCCGGGAGAGAAATATCGCATCCGATCCGCTCATACCGACTATACTCGCGCCCGTGCCGGAGCTTGTGTACGCTTCAACCTCTGCTTCATGGAGTCCTGACGCGTGGGATACTCGGGCAGTAATATCATCGACGGACAGGAAGGGCAAGTTGTCGTTGCGCTCTAATGATGGTAGATCGATATCGTACCAGTGTGGGATCGGAGCCATAATGCATTTTGACACTTTCATTGATTCCTTCTCTCCTGGTTGGGACTTGCTATTGGTGACGGTCGTGGAATTGGGGGGCAAGATACCGGTCTTCGAGACAGGGAACTCTCTTGCTGGGAGGTTCTTTGCAGGTCGAGGTTTCCCCAATCCATACGTTGCTTGCTGCTTGACCCGCGGCCCTGCATTAGCCTTCTTATGATATGCAGGGGTGTTCGTTTTGTTGTTATCGCCCCTGCGATGTCCTTTCTTGAGCATGATCTCAACAAATGATAAAGTCTGAGCTTTCTTCGTCGCCAAAATTCTGCCCAGTTCAGGGTCCTTGTAATTATTATCACAAATATTTTTTTGACACTGAAATGAACCCTACTCCTGCACCTTTCGACTCTCTCATCGACCTCTAGTGTCTGATGGCCAATGTGCAAGCACCATTGGGCGATACGCCAGTGAATGCTCGCCCTATCAAGCGCCGACGACTTGCTAGCTATGATTTGAACGTCCCAATTGTTTCTCAGGTGACGCAGCCATCCACCTTGATACTTGAAGTCAAGCCCTCCCCCTCCTACTGGCAGGATGCAGTTGTTTGTCACTGCTGTCATCGCTATTTATCACCTTCAGCCTCCTCCACGGATTCTGGGATAGGATGTGCACGGTGAGGATACCTACGGATCTTTATATACAACCCTTTCTCATCAAACATCCTGCAGATGTCAGAAAGTAACTTGCATTGTCTGCTCTCGAACATGCACTATGCAAGACCCTTCCCCGCCATCCACTGATGATTCACCTCCCTCAAATATGATATCGCCACGACAGAGATTAAAGCAACTGAGCCGACTGTTGGCAGGGAACAGGCCGTCAAAAACACGACGACGACCACGAAATCCTGGGGAGGACGAAGAGGAGGGCTCGTCAGGGTGTCATCGACGCATTTGTCGGCACTGTGTGGGAAAAGAAACTGCGTACGCTTGGACCACATCTAGAGCTGTCAGTTCCTATGCTGATTACTTCTCAGATGCTATTCCACTTGTTTGGATTGTTTGGCTCAGTTACCACCACCTCCGACCTTCTGACGCATATTTCACCCTTTCCGCTCTCCTATCATTCTCGCTATCAGAGTTGCATGATTGCACGCCTGTGATTCCATTGTTTGTATTCATCTATTTATCTCAGCTCTCTGGACTAGTCGCGGTTGCCCATGATGGATGGTTTTATCTCAGAGATGTTTCGCAAATGCCTTACTCCCCTCTCAACCACTGGGCAACCCTTGAACGTTCGTCTAGTGTCTTACTGCTCTTTGTGTGTTGTGTAGCAGTTGATGTCTTCTGTCTTTCATGAAAACCCGGAATCTCTTGTGCAAGCTGAGGGTAATATTCTGGTGGAGGGGCGAGTTCTCTGCATATTTGTGGCAGCGTCAAGCCTGTTGAAGGTGGAACCTCGGGACGAGCCGTGGCATTGTCGCTTTCAGCTGTGTAGTGGTGTGAGTCATGAGTGACCTCAAGCATGTTGTAGGGATTGCCTTGGCGTGCTTTCTTCCGGAAAGTAGTTTTCAAGCCATGCCCCAAAGAGCGCGAGCAGCCAATAGGTGTCATTGGATTGCTTCGTATATTGCTCCAGCAGCTTTGGAGCACCATGTGATGCCTTAAAGGCGCTGGATGGATATGAAAGTGGTCTGCTTTAGAGTAGACGAGCGGATAGGACCAAGGCTGTTGACTTGCATCGGTACTCATGTTTCTTGGAGCGACACGCTCGGATCGCAGAAGGTCGACGGGGGAACTGCAGAGAGGGGTTCGGAACAATAACATGAGGTGAACAGGTCAGCCATGAACCGAGCATTGGTATTCCTGAAATGGAAAGAATCTCGAACTGGGTCCAATACCTTCTTGGACTGGAATCGTGAGGCAGTGAGCATTGAATGAGTACTTGGAGAGGTGATCAAGCTCATCACAATGGCGAGTTCAATTTTCACTCCGGTGAAATCTGCACCCCATGTATATGGGCTGATATAAATGGCTCTTCTTCAAGATTGCTATTAAGCGCTCCGCCACCTTTCCTCGTTCTCGTCGTCCGACATCTTCTAGACTTTGCAAACTCTACATCTGGGAAGAGTTGCTTCTGGCAAATCGGGGTCGACTCAAGATGTGTATGATGTGTCAAATGTCGGCTCTCGTTGATGCGACGATGTTATTTGGTTTGGGTGGAGCATACACGTTCAGCAACTGGCCCGCCTCGGGAGGAAAGTTATGAGCATTTGTGGAGCCCACATGAACAAATGAAAGAAACAACCGAAGGGAAGCTCATGAACTGGGGAATCAGGAAGGTAGAACGCGGCGTGTGTCAATATTGGCCCTGTCCCGTAGTAAAGGGATCATTGCATCGCCACCGATAATTATATCTAAAAGAAGAAATTGGTGGCCCTGAAACAGTACTAGCGTGCCGCGCAATGTGGCCAGTCATCTCCGCCCAAGCCGGTACCGTGTTCGCGGGGCTTATTCCTGTATGCTCTGCGGCCGTTCACATCGGTCTTGTCTCCCTCTTTCTGTCTAATATCCAACTTTCCCATCTACATCCTATTCCTCTATTTGCCTTCGAACATCTCGTTCCCCTTGTACTTGCAAACAAGCGCTCTCAATCACTTGTTCCACGCTCACGTCTCTCATTACCTTCTCTCATCTTCTAATGATGTTCAACGCATCGCTCGCTATCATCGCACTTGTTCTTTTGGTGCGCAACGCGTATGCTGCGTCTGCCTCGGACTGGCAGAAACGCACAGTATATCAGGTCATGACGGACCGCTTCGCTCTTCCTCCTTCGGAAGACGCACAGGGCAAGACATGCGACGCAAGCGCCCAGCTCCCGTGCGGGGGCACTTGGTCTGGTATCCGTGCGTTTTTCTCCGCCACTTTATCATGTTGTCCCTGTTAAGGCAACCCCCCAGAAAATCATCTCGACTACATACAAGCAATGGGTTTTAATGCTATCTGGATCTCTCCGATTGTATCCCAACTGCAGGTTCCCCTACCCCCTCCGGCAGATGGCACTGCATATCACGGTTATTGGCCTGAAAATATCTACGCGTTGAACGATGCTTTTGGCTCAGACTCTGATCTGCGCTCTCTCATCAACGCTGTCCATAGCCGCGGCATGTACATCATGGTCGACGTGGTAGTGAATCACATGGCAACGTACAACACCACGAGCCCGTCAGCTGCCCCCACAAGCCCGCTAGCAGGAATCAGCTTGAATGGATACAACCCTTTCAATCAGGATAGCGATTACCACTCATTTTGTCCCATTACGGACTACGGAAATCAGACCATGGTTGAGCAGTGCTGGCTTGGCAGCGCGGCCGTCCCTCTCGCCGACGTGAATACCGAAGATCAAGCCACAGTGGACCTGTACTACTCCTGGATCAATACCCTCATTTCCAACTATACTTTCGATGGTCTGCGTATCGACACCGTCAAGCACATACGAAAAAGTTTCTGGCCAGGTTTTGCTAATGCCTCTAGTGTATTCACCCTAGGAGAGGTGCTGGATGGGGATGCTCAGTATGTCGGAGACTACACGAACTACCTTGACGCTGTGTTCGACTACCCTGGGTGGGGTATGATCCTTCAGGCATTCCAGACTACCGGTGGTAGCATGAGCATGCTTGCGCAGAGCATTCAGAATACCAGCACGTACTTCAAGAACGGTGGTTTCTCCACTGGCAGTTTCTTGGAAAACCATGACCAACCACGATTCCCGAGCTTCACCAACGACACCGGCCTCATCAAGAACGCCATCGCTTACACGTTCATTGGCGATGGCCTCCCCATTGTGTATGAGGGCCAGGAACAGGAGTACTCCGGGGGTGCGGTGCCAAACAATCGGGAAGCGATCTGGCTGTCTGCTTACGAACAAGATAAACCCCTATTCAAGCACATCACTAGCCTTAACATGGCCCGACAGGCTGCGATGAACGGATCGTCCTCCTTCCTCTCGACTCATGTAAGGTCACTAATATATGGTCTCGACTGAAGCTTACTGGGTCTCTGCAGATGAAAGTCCTCTCGACCTCTGCGCATTCTATTGCTCTTGCCAAGTACCCGATGCTGGCTTCACTGACCAACATTGGACAAGGTTCGCAAGGCCAGGTGTCTGTGTCGGTTGGTAGCCTTGGCACCGGATATTCTGCGAACAGTCAGCTTGTTGAAGTGCTTAGCTGCACTGAGGTAAATGTCGACGGCAGTGGTAACTTGGCATTTACCACGCAGCAAGGTGCTCCAGCTGTGAGTAAATTCACCACTCCTTTCCGTTCGCCATTGATGAATCTTTCAGGTATTCCTGCCCAGTTCTATGGTGAACTCCAAGGTCTGCACTAATCTCGTAAAGAACGGTTCAGGTGCACCGGGAATGTTCTCCGCAAGCGTTTATGTCATCTCGATCGCTGCTGCCAGCGCCATCGCTCTGAGCATGTTTGTTGGGTCTTAAAGTTAGACTGTATTCTCAGACAATGGACTCTGAAGAGACATACCTTGACATATGATTCACTTGGACTTCTTACCGTAGTTTAGATGTGCACTGATACAAGTGCTTTGATGACAATTAATCAGAAGTGTGGCATGGTGTCACGTGATGCCGCGACTCAAAAGACAAGACAAAGGAACACCGTTCGCGCGTGTCATGTCTGGCTGTGATCACTGACTGACATGGCTCAACTCGTTCAATACATGGATACCGCCCGTCGAGGCACCTCTGTCCGCACCTCTCTCGAGGTTGCCATCCTGAGCCACTGCTGTGTTGTCACCGCCCTGCATGCAGTCTCCCCTCTGGCTCATCAACATCACCCTGGCATCTTCGCTCAACGTCTGGTCATCCTACACACCCTCTTATCCTGATCCGTTCCCCGTCGTACTCGTTGCGTTTCCCTAAACTTATGGCTCACTCGGGAGCACGCAAATCGGATCCCCGCGTCTCTTCTCTCGATGTACACATCGTGCCACGCAAGCCACCAGTCAGCATTTGGGACATGCCGCCCGACGGAACTGCACCACACAGCGCGCCGCGCCCACAGCAAGTGGTCAACCGGAAGAAATCCACTAGAGAGATTGTCGCACAGTTTGAGGCACGAGAGGCAGCTTCATCAGGAGGAACGCCAAACAAACCGCATTATCAGAGTGAGAGAGCGCCGCAGACCACACCACGCAGGCAGAGGCTTCCGGGAGACGGACTAGGCGTGCCGTACACTTCTATGCCGCGAGTGTCATCCAACCTCACCCCGCCAGTGCGGCCTCACTCTACTGGCCTCACACCGCCCCGACCTCCAGAAGAATACTCTCCACCACAGAAGGATCGCAGTCCGCTGCGTGACAGCCTGCGGAATCTGTTTGCAATCTTCAAGAAGGGGAAGAGCCCAGCAGGAAAGGAGGACGAGGTGGTGGCGTATCAGAGAGATAAGGAGGTGCATAGAGATACCTGGCACGGGGACACGTCGGAAAGCGCAGCGAGAAGGACAGTGGCTGGAAGTATGCAGAATACGCCCGAAAAGGAGCTCCCTCCCGTTACGCCAGAACAGCGCAAACTCGGTCCTGCGGTATGTTCCTTGTCTATCAACTTGTAGGCCGCTACTGACATCTCAATAGCCACTTCGGTCGGGCCTTGTGTACTACTTGACTGTTGAAAAACAGTGGACCAAGCGGCAAATCTCTCTTGAACCACCTTTTCTCTTTATGACCGACCCTGTACTTGCAACTCCTTCTCTCGCGATGCGGCTGGAGACACTGACAAGCGTGCACTCGCTCCCGCGGTCGTCAGCCCTCACCCTTCCTCCCATACGCCAGAAGGACTTTCCAGAGGAGCCGTATGTATTTGAGCTGGAGTTCGAGGAGGGTAACCGGATTGAAATATTCGCCCTGGAGAGTGCGTCGACGCGGTCGAGTTGGGTGAGCGTCTTCTGGTGAGTACATATTCTGATCGAATTCGGATATATCACTGAGATCCATTTAGGGATGCCGTCCTTTCCATGCAACCGGGACCCAGTATGCCACCTCCCTCCAAACAGGATGACGACCCTTTCCTGTCTCCCAGTCTTTCGGATCCAATGACACACCATCCTCCTTTACGGGTGATGAACGGTCCTATTCCAGCGTCTCCGAACTCAAACACGCTCCCGTCACCCCTGCCGATGGCAAGAGGTGACTCGATTGATAACGTCGGGCAAATGGCGGGACACACCAGTGCGCCGGGAAGTGGCAGCAAGCTTCGACAATCGTCCCTCCCCCATGATGCCCTCGGACTGACGAGTCCTAACTCGATCGGTTTGGTGATCGACGCTCCCGTGCCGACAGGGCCATCACCTCGGCCAACAAGTCGACCACTACCATCCCTGCCAACGGATCAACCTCCTTCCCCAGAGAGAGTTCAGCCAAATCCGACAATACCCGACGTCACACCCGTGCCTGTTGACGAGCAGGGCGCCGATATAATTCGTTTCCCCAGCGCTTTTTCCAGACGAAGCCGTACAACACATGGAAGTCCGATGTCTCATGCACTATTCTCACCGCAAACTGAGCCCGACACTACGCCAACCTCTCCAGCCTCTTCACCTCCTCCAAAACACGTGCTGTCGCCAGCGGCAGATATCGAGAGCACAGAAACACGGGATGCTATTCGGCTGTCTTCAATTCGTTCTCCTAGTCCGACCGTTTCTCGAAGAACTTCGTTCGCAACAAAGAACAACTCACCACGTTCACCCTCCATTCAGACACTGTCGCAGTTGTCTGTCGTTCGTATGCGACTGGCCAAGCTCGAGGTAGGGGAGGCACGTGTAGTCCCAACTTCTCCGACGCAACCCCAAGGAGCATCGTCGCCTAAACCGCGGCCACCCCAGTCACCACCTAAACCGGTACAGGCCCGACAGCCGGACACCCCGAAGACGGTGACTCCGAAGAGCTCCATTCTCACACCTAACCGACGTCTTTCTAACATGTCTTTTCACACGCCTCCTCTCACGGTCAAGAAGAGGGGCACCATTCTGCTATCTCGCTTTCCCTTGCCATCCTCTATAGGGGAAGTGAGCAGTGGGGGTGAAGAGTCCTCTGCGGAGTCTGATATTGGCCGAGCCCCACCCTCGAATGCTACGAGAAGTTCGCCGACAAGGCGCTCTCAATTGCACGTTGTTTACGAGTCTCATAGAGATTCTAGCGCTTCTGGACAAACATATTTCACGACTGCGCGTTCTTCGCAGCACCCGGAAGGGTATCCTGTTGAATGGCCGGACAGCAGCACAGATAGTGGGAGCTGGTCTGGAGAAGGACCTCGGAAGGACAGTGGTTCATCGGTGGCAACTGATAGATCGTCCATTGTAGCAACTCCTGTCGATCTACCGCCCCAGCTTGACCTCGAGCCTGTAATCGCCATGCTTGAGCCTCTTCCGGCACACTATTCCAATCTCTCCGAGAAAATGGATGGTGTCAGAAATGGGCTTGGTAATGTTGCTGGCGACGTGCAGAAGGCATTAATGGGTATCGCTGAACTGAGGACTGATATTGCCACGACCGCGCCTCCTGAGAAGGCCACGTCCGCCCTGGATGAGGAAGCATGGCAGCACGTACGGAGGCAGCTCTCGGAGCTTATCTTGTTAGTCTCAGAGAGCGTGGCTGGCAAGGGCATTACAAAGCCAGAGTCGCAGGAGGCGGAGAATGTGCAGACCATGAGAAACTTGGGCAAACGTGGCAATGATGCATCAGTCGTTGATGACGGTGCTCCAGAGCTCATGGACACTGAGAAACCCGTAATTGCAGAGGCTGTCCCCAATGGCCTTCCTAAGGAGGTTAGCCCGTGTAAAGGTTCCACGTCTGAAGACTCACTCTTATTTGCAGGAGCTTGTGGCATCGCTTGAGCCCCTTCTAGAACAGCAGAAGCATTTGCATCTTCAGCAAACAGACACCATCCGTTATCTTAATGAACTTAACCCATGGCTTCAGAAACTTGCGCTTACCGCGGAGAAGGGCGATGAAGTGCCGGCCGAGTTGCAGCGTATCGCTAAAGCGCTGGGGATCGAGAGGCCGAAGCCACAAGATGGTGAAGAAGTTGCGAAGGAAGGTCCATCATTTGTCACGCACGTGATAGACAAGCTTGATGGGATACGAGCGATCGTAGATGCTAACCAACAGTCTCGGGAGGGTACGTCACCTTTCTTCACGGGACCAGACTTTAATAGCTGATGAGGATACAAGCTATGAATGCTGTGCTCAAGACACTTGCAGAACAACGTCAAGAACAAGAGAAGCTTCTTCGTTCTGTGGCAGCAGAACTCTCCAACGACATTCGAGGTGAACGTCTGCGTTTCGTTGATGCCATGAAGGAAGCTACTACCCTCAATGTGCAAGGCACGTGAATGACAGGACTCGAGGACTGTGTCTAATAGCTTTACAGTGCATCTAGAGGAGTTTAAGAAGCAGCTGAATCACGAAGTGTTTCGAATGACTCAGGATGTCGGGCATTTGCGAGACGACAAGATGAAGCTTGAACAAGCAATCGCGGAGCTCTTCGCCATAAAGGCAAAGCATGGAGACCACGTAAGTCTTCTCACTCCAGGGGATGTCTATGATACTCATGATTTGAGCAGCTGTATCAAATGCAACAGGCGGCTCACCAGGCACAACAAGCCAGTATGCAGACTCAAGTGTCCCAACCGAAAGTTGCACCTCCACCGCCTGTGCAACAATTCCTACATCCTCAGCATGTGCCGGGGATGATGTACAACCTTCCAGGGGGATATGCCTCTATACCGAGTCAACAACAACAGCCAGTGAGGCACTCCATACCTCCCGCAAATGCACGCATCAATATGCCACCCCCATTGGCCGTGCAACAACCAATACGGCAAGGAGCTCATGCAAGCCGACCGTTGCCCTCCACAGGTGGCCGAACGGCTGCAGCTGGGGGCCCTCGTTCTGGTAAATAGCCCGTGTTAACCCAATCTGGTTTCTGGACACTGGACATTTCTGGGACAGTCAAATAGTGAACTGTACTTCTAGTTATTGTCTATACAATTTGTTTCACCACAGTCGTGTCCCTAACTCGGGATGAAAGTTGAGCCGCGGTAAAATGGAGATGTTAGGAAAAGCGGCTCTTGAGGCATCGGAGTGAGATGGTTCTTCCGACACCCAAAATACATAAATGGCACCATTCGGAGTCCCCCTTTGCCTTTGCCTCGTAAAGGTACACTTTACGGTAGGACCGTTTCTGTCGTGATGATAGGTGATTAACATTTTCCAAGTGGCTTAGCAATCAAATCAATCCTTCGCCGTGGTTCGGACCGGTCGGTCCACTTCTTGCCCCTTCTCCGCTTGCTGACGCCACCTGGACAGTGTTGAGCTAGGTCACCACGCTCGCCTACATATGCTGTCCCTTCGTTCCCTCGTCAAGCCAGCAACATCATTTGCTTTCCGTCGAACGATGTCTTCCGCCGCTCTCCCAAGCAGGACCTTCCTCATCTACGCCCCGGATCTTCCGGACGCGGCACCCCGTCGGGCCAACGTTCGCCCGTCCCACCTTGCGGCTAACCAGGACCGTATGGACACTGGCATTTTCAGTGCGTTGAAAGCAATTTATGAAGGGGAATTTGCTAAAACTGGATCACAGTGCTTGGCGGTGCCTTGCTGGACACCGAGGGAAAGATGGTCGGCAGCAGCATCGTGATGCGCGCTGAATCACTTGCCGAGGTCAAGGCCTATGTGGAGCAGGACATCTACTACACTGGGGGTGTGGTACGTCTGGAGTTGCCCAATGTACGAGTTGGAAATGCTGACGGGCAAACAATAGTGGGATCCAGCGAAACTGATCATTACCGAGTTCAAGACTGCCCCTCGTGCTCCTCCGTCTTGAGCTGTCATTTGTACCCAGTTAACAAGTGGAATGTAATGCGTGCACAGTCCTTGCCGTTATATGAACCCACAAAGAGCTCAGGTACACGGCCAACTGAGCGTCATTTAAATCATGGCAGCACGAGGCATACCATGCATTGGTATACAAATGCAGCATGATAGATATAGTACAAGAACAAACATTCACCCATTGCAAACCAATCACTTCCGTCTCCTCCCGCGCTCGTTCTCCTGACCAGGTTTAGCAATCCTCTTGCTGCGATTCTTGTTCTTCACGTTTGCGGTGGAGAAGAAATTGGTGGCCTTCTTCTTGTTTGTGGTCATTCGGGGAGCTTTCTTTGGTCGGACCTCCTCGGGACCGTCATCCTCTTCCTGCACAGGCCGCTTGCGGGACTTGCTCGGGGATGATGATGAGGATAGCGCGGTTTCTGCAAAAATGTTCAGAACAGGGAAAGTACAGAAAAACAAATAACGCACTTGTCAGCTCGTCTGTGGGGCCAGCGAGAGTACTCATGGCTTCCTCCCAGGTCATCTCTGATACCTCAGCATCCTCGTCGACGCTTTCACCGCTCTCGTCTTCATCTTCATCTTCGTGCTCACCCTCATCTTCATCATCGTCCACTTCATCATCGTCTGCTGCATCCTCGTCCTCGTCCTCGTCCTCGTCCTCGTCCTCTTCATCATCGTCCACCTGACTCCCCTCAGCACCCACAACTTCAGGCACCGCGACGTCGTCCCCATCACCTTTCTCATCCACATCAAGCCACTTCGTCCCATTAGGGAACTTCAGCACCCTAATATCCTGTTGAACTCCCAGGAGCTTCTTTTCCTTCTTGTCCACCTTCGCCTTCTCCTTCGCCTCTGCTCGTTCCTTGTCCTTCTGCCGGTCTTTGTCGTTTACTGGGGGCTTGGTATAATATGGCAGCTTGCCCCGCTGCCAATCGCCAAGCACCATACGTGCGACCGTGTCTCTATCCGGCTCGCCACCCTTGAGGAGCTTTCCCGTCTTCCGAGCCAGTTTCTCTAGCCACAGGTCCGTCGCTTCGATATCCACGGGCACGCCTTCCAGCTCACCCTCCTTCCCCCATGTCCAGGAAGCGTTCACACCATACGTGCGGCCGAGATACTCAGGCCTGACGCGACCCAATAGCTCGGGGACATATTCGGATGGATTGGGCAGCGCCGATAGACGGATAACCCCCTTGAGGACCGTATCTGTCTCCGAGTCATTCTTGGATATGGGAACGATGCCCGGGCAGTCGATCAGGTATATCTTCTTGGTGAGGGTGATGTACTGCCAGACCTTCGTCTCCCCTGGGATGGGTGCAACAGTGCAGACCTTGTTTTTCTTGAGGCAGTTGATGATACTCGATTTACCCACGTTTGGGTAACCGATGAAGCCTACAGAGATCTGCTTCTTGTCCGAGTGCAGATTTTGGAATTGGCGCAGTAGCTGGATGAGAGAGCCTTTCCCGAAGGAATGGTGGAGGGAGGCATGGAAGGCGAGTGTGGGGGCGATCTGCGACAAGTGAGAAAGCCAGCGGGCCTGGATACGGTCAGTCCCGTGTCTAGAACAACCGGCATAGTAGGAGAGAAAAGGTGATATGACAAAGGTTATGTGTGTCCCGGAACTAAGACAGCGACCGTCGTTTCCCTTTGGGGTGGACCACCATCAACTCTACCAGTACGTCGTCCCTCCCCGCCTTCTAAAACGCCTCACCAGCGTCCAATACGGACACAGCTAAGCAGAAGGGGAATGGGGAAGGCTATTCGTTCTCCCACTTCCGTAACGGTCTCCCGCTCTGGGCCCTAGGGCGTCCGTGAGGGGGGAAGGGGAGACCTGACTTGGATGTGGGGTTGGGAGAGGAAAAGAAGAAAAGAAAATTGGACAAAATTAGAGACAAAGACAGGAACTCGAACTCACCACAACCCAGCTCGGCACCAAATCACACTTGTTCATGATGAAGACCACCTGTTTATGCGCCCGTTCCTTCTTGATAAAATCCATCACAGCTTCGCACATCGTCCCCTTCGGGTCTCTTGCATCGAGTACATGCACAAGCACATCACTGGAATCGATGACCTTGTGCAACTCGCCGTGTATTCGCCTGGAGGTACCCTTGGCAAAAAGGGGGTGTGAAGGAAGGTCCTTGTACTCGTTTTCTGGAGCAACTTCTTCCGGGTCAGCAGGAGCAGGGACGGTGCCCTCCGCGGGAGCCTCTTCTTCGTCCCCTTCAGCAGGTTGGGTAGATGGTCCTGCAGCAGATGCAGCAAGTTCCTCGAAAGAGCCCACATCCACGTGAACGCGTTTGCGCTGCGCTTTGGGCCCAAACGTCTCTCCAAACGGCTCGACCTCAACAATTTTCGGTCGCTGTCACCTATTAGACCCAGGAAAAAAAATCCAATGGCTTGAATACGCACCTGAGTCGTTCCAGGATTTGCATCGGTAGCGAGCAAGCTCAGAGGCAGCTTGTTCCTCCTCATCACGACACTGAACGGATCCCTCGCCTTGTCACTCAACGCATTGCGGAAATGTGTCAAAGCATCCTGGCTGATCACCCTCGTGTTCCCGAACCACCTCTTGTCTGGCGCGACCCGGCCAGGCTCGGTCTCCGCCTCGGTCTTCTGGTATGCAGCAGCCTCGATGATCTTCCCATTCCGGTCGCGCACGGCCTTCCCGCCGGTGAGGACTTTGGCACGCTTGGCGGCTTTGGCATCCCGGTAGAAATTCTCGCCTTTGACTTTCTTGAGGTGTGGACCAGAGCCAGATGCACCTGTGGGAGTAGGCTTTTTAGTTACCTTTACGCCCATTTTTGGAGTTGAAAAGGGAGAGGGGGAAGAGAGGGGGAAAAAGGCAGAGAGAGCTGGTTGAAATTTCGACAGATATTTTCAGTCCCTGTTCCAAAAAGTTCCGTGTGACAAAACGGGAATAGGTCCCGCGCTTCTCATGCGCCTTGACCACACACAAGTCAATCTCGAGCGCTCGTCTGTGCACTCTGCAGAGCAGGAACAAGATGGCTTCCACCGTCTACCGCTACCTCGTACGCACTACCGTACACCGCTCTCCCAGAAAACTCAACTTCCATTCATAGCAACGTCAAGCGCACGAACAGCCCGTCTACTTCTGGAGCATCCTCATCGGCCTCGCGGGGCCAGCGATGCTCGTCACAGTACCCCCAATCCGGAGGCGTATGGGCTATGTCAGGCCCGAAGACCCACCTTACACTTACCCACGTGAGTACCTATTGAGACTGAAAGTGATGAGGCTGATGCTGGGACAGTGCCTAGGCGAGAACGGAGAGCTACTGTAGGGTTCGAGGATCCTGAGGAGTGGGCGGGAAAATGGGACTTGCCTAAAAGGGGTTCGACGCGGCCGAATGAGTAAATGTGCCTTGTGGGAGCGTATATGCTCAGAAGAGAATGAAACAACACACGACTAAACTGTGGTGTAAATGTATCCTCAAAGGAATGACGAGGCTTGTCCTCGATTTCGAATGGGTACTCGCAACGCATGGATTCGCAAAGTCTACAACATGATCCATATCAAACTAAAGCTACATGGTGCCAGGACATCACTGGCCGTCCCCAAAATCGCCCATAGACACCAGGCCGTCTAGCGCCTCCCCCACGTCATCAGGCAGATCACTCTCACCGCCGACGTCCGCTGTAGCAGCATCCTCCATTCTCACGTCTTCCTCTCCTCCTGCACCATGTCCTGCAGAAATGCCACCCTCCGCATCTGCCTCAGATGCAGTTTCAGACACAGCAGGTTGCAGCCTGCTTTTACCGTTGCCTCGTCCTCGTTTTCTTCCCTTCCCTCTCCCTCCCCCCCTGCTCCTGCCTCTCGTCGCGCCACTCCCGCTCGGAACGAGTTCTTCCATCGTATCCTCCTCACCCATACCAACCATGCTTTCCTCCCCACCTACTTCGACCGTGTTCGCATCCCCACCAGCATCCGTTGCATTTTCCCCATCCTGATCCGCAGTACCCTTCCCTTTCCCCTTAGCCCTCCCCCGTCTCTTCCCCTTCCCTCCCCCAGGAGCTGTCCCGCTCCTCCTAGGCACCTTCGCCCCCCCAAGCAAAGGATGCGGTACCCCCTCTGTCCTCTCCTTCCTCTCCAGTCCCAATCCAGGGGCGAAGTGTACTCTACCTCGAGAGGTGGGGATAGAGCCGAATTTATCCTGCACTCCTTCGGGTCCGGACGTGGGCTGCCTCGTGTAAGCAGGCCGGGGCTGGATGTGTACTTGACGGAAACGGATGTGTCGTGATGTCAGATGCTGCGGGAGGACGTGTTTCGTTCCTTTGCTCGAGCTTGGGTCTGCGTGTCCCTGTGAGCACCGTGTCTGCAAGCGAGAAAGAGCGGCAAGGACGAAAAAGAAGCACGTAGACATAGAGATTAGAAAAGAAGAGTGGAGATAACGAACCTCGCATGTCCCGGAAGATGATTTCGCTTCCTATCAAGCTCGCGTGTCCCCCTTGGTAGATAGCTGTTCCCAACTGTAAGTATGGTGTAGGCGTGTCTAGGCCCTGCGCATTATCAGGTGCTGATCCAGTTATATAAAAAGATAGAGAGCGCACAATTAACCGATAGTGTTGGGCCGAGGGAGGCGCTGTCCCAGAGGGGACGACGCCCAAGTCGAAAGTTACGTATTCGACCTACAAAAGTGTCGGTGATGCATCACAGTGTGCTGCAGAAGATGAAGCCCACCTCTTCCTCAGTTTCGTATTCATCGTCTGTGATGTTGTCGAATGATGGTTGGTGATGCCATGCTGGACCGAGGAGAGATGAAGAAAAGGGAAGGGATGTAGAGTCATCCATTTTGGTGGTGATAATATCAATGTTGAAATGTTTGAATCCCTCAGTAGGCGCAGGAAGCAGGTTAGGGGTCTTCACGTGATTCCCTTTCTTGGAAGGATGAACTCTTTTCTGTCATGTTTCCCAAAAAAGGTAATTTGAAACAGGTGGCGTAATCTCACGTCAGCAGGGCAACTGACATGTTTTGTCGATCACATCCCAACAAAGGGCAAGGGACCCGGTCAACTCCCGTGCTTCGATGGTGGATTACCCCGGCCCGGCCAGGTCAGGGGTTTCCTCTCTTGCTTCTCTCACCGAGCCAAACGGGGCTCTCCATCTGTCTTCTGCGCGACAAAACTGAGATATCGATATCTCATATCGCAGCCATATCACAGGGCAATCCTTCGCCATGAAACAGAACAAAAACAGACAAGAAACTAACACGGCGGGCTATCAAGCATTCTGCTCTATCGTCGGCCGTGCATCGGCCGGGCCGGCATCGGAGGTGTGCTTGCTAATCTAGCCGACGTGGGGGTCCGGTGCAACACTAGGCGCCTAATATGGATGGAGGAGCACAACTCCAACTCTTGGGGTGATTATCGGCTCGGATATCGCGTGCACAATGTCTCATGGGATCCACCTATTCTATCCTTCGTATCCAGCACAACGAGACAATTCCACCTTGGGATACTTGGCTATCATATCGTCCTATTGGCTGGCAGATTAATCCTCCCGAGCTGGACCTCTCTGATGCTTCTCACATTCTGCGTCCAATCGAGAGAAGCGTGGGGGGCGTGTGCAGCCCTGTCCTATACCCTTCTCACCCCTCGAAAGAAACTGCTTCTGCCAGCGCCTGCTCCCGCCGGTTCGGTTCGGAGCGGTTCACCCTCGACCCATCTGGTCACAAAGTCACCTTCTCCTGGTCCTCGCCCTCACTTCCCCACTTCCACATATCAGCCCCTGCTCATACACATCATTAATAGCTCACCCCCTCCCTGTCCCTCCTTTCCTCACACGACCATCATCACCGCCGTCCCCGTCCCCGCCCTCGTCATCCTCACCCTTCCCTTCATCAACCTGGGTGTGACTTGGTTGTATTGCTGAATTGAGCTGAGCTGGTGAACTGTTCACCCGCGCGACAAATCGGGAATTACCTTAAGGAGCGAGATCGTTACCACTTCCGGCCATCACCTCCCTCATACGTATTGCCCATATCCCCCCCCCCCCCCAAACTCATCTATTATATCAATGGCCGTCTCGAAAGGCAAGTCTGCTGCCGCTGCCGCTGCCGCTGCAGCAGCCGCCACCGCCAACGGGTCTGCAACACAGGGCACCAACGCCGGAAGACACGTCCCCCACGTTAAGAAGGCTTGTGAACGGTGCAGGCGGAACAAGAGCAAGTGTGATGGTGTGCCTGGGAGTACATGCAGGAGCTGTGCCCAGGTGGGCTACGAGGTGCGTCACCTCCAC